TAGAAGATCTCCCAGGTCCCTTTCAGCTCTATTCAGATGGATGGATGGATGGATGGATGGATGGATGGATGGATGGATGGATGGATGGATGGCTGGGTGGATGCATGCATGCATGGATGCATGCATGCATGCATGCATGCATGGATGCATGGATGGATGGAACTAATCAAGGAGAGAAGCAACCTAGAATTAAGGAAAACTTCCTGACAGGGAGAACAATTAACCGGTGGAACAGCCTGCCACCAGAAGTTGTGGCAGTTCTTTAAGAAGAGACTGGACAGCCAATTGTCTGAAATGGTCAATAACATTGAGTAGAGTTCTCACCAAGCTTTCAAAATTTGGATCCAGCCCCATCCGTCATTGGGTGTGGGACCAAGGGTGGGGGGGCACATGAAGACAACCTTTGGGGTCTGTTGCCCCACCAGTTGCCCAGCTTGCTCTGCAAAAAGCAGGAAGGACCCACCTTCAATGTTTCCCCCACCATCCAAGGCTGGTCCTTCAGAATCCTTCCCTGAAGAAGACCTCCAGTTGCCATCTGGCTTTCCGACTGGCCTGTTCTCTCCCTCCCATGCCTTTGTTCTCTTAGCCCTTCCTCGGTGACTTTTGGGGGGCACCAGTAGAGAGGCACAATCGGAGCAGAAACTTTGCCCCACGGTTTATGCAAACGGCCTCTTGGTACTTAGTTCCAGCTGGAGTCACTTAATAGCTTGCTCCAAGTTATTGACTTACAGCGAGCTGCCAAATACTCATTATGAGGCTTCATTCCCGGAGCACCTTAGTTAATAGCTATTGATATTCCTAGCTCTTCGGAGTTTTCCCAGCTGTCCTCTAACTCAGAGATCCTGTACGCTCCGCCATTCTTCTGCCGGTGGCAGGTCGAAAAGATGACGTACGGGCCAAGGGAGAATTATTCCAATGTTCCTTTCACTCTTCTGCTCCCTGCAGCCTTCCTTCGAGGACTCTGGATTGGGCCTCGGCGGGAGAGGTTGAGTGCACTAGCAGGTGAGATGAGCAGGATGGGATCCCCATTTTTTGGAAAGGTAAAATTTGACCTTTGAAAAAAAAAAGGAAATTCCTTGCAAAGAAGAGTGACTGTATTTTCTTGGGGAGGGGGGAAAAATAACTGTTGGAAGCTGTTCTGACCCCCCCCCNATTTTCCCACCATAGAAAATGCATAGCAGAATAATGGGAAGTGTGGTCGAGAGATGCTGAACCTATTTTTCAGTTTAGCGCAGGGTGTTGTTGACAAAAGGTGCATCTTGGATCACACCCAGGACACGAGAAAGGAACAGAATTAGAACATTAAGTAGCCCGGATCAACAGTCATTAAGTGAGTCTGGCTTCCCTATTGACTTTGCTCGTCAGAAGGTCGCGAAAGTGAATCACATGACCCCGGGACACTGCAACGGTCACAAGTAGGAACCAGTCACCAGGCGTCTGAATTCTGATCATGGGACCGTGATCAGATGCTGCAAATGGTCGTAAGTGTGAAAATGGTCATAAGTCACTTTTTTCCAGTGTCGACGTAACTTTGGATGGTCCCTATATGAACTGTTGTAAGTTGAGGGCTAGCTATAGGAATAAGAAGGAATAATCCTCCTTTGGCCAGACCTGTCGTGTTTTCTGCCACCCGCCCAACTTTTATTGTAAATTTTTTTATTTTTCCATTTTCACAACATATAGTCACATGTATACTATGACATAGCCAACATCACTTTGTATTATTAAGTGTTTACATCAATTAATCTTACCAACAACTCCCCAAAATCAATTATTTAGCTCTTCTGCTCTCCATACACCCTATTTATCCTTCTCCATCACTTTCTTCTCCCTCTCTCTCCTCCCCCTCCTTTCTTCCCTCTGTCATCCTTCCCTCCTCTACTTCCCCTTCCTCTCTCCTTCTCCTCTCCCCCTTTCCACTCCCCGTTTCTCTCCTCCTCTTCCCCACTTCCTTACCCTCTCTCCTATTCCTTTCTTCTTCCCTTACCTCTCTTCTTTTCTCCCCACTCTTATTATTTACTTGGTGCATTTCAGCTTCTGAGCAAGCTCCGTTTTATGTTGATGGTATTTATAGTTCCTTTTGGATATACATAGTTCGTTTTAACATCCTTTCTTGGTGTGTGTGTGGGGGGGAAATAGAACAAAAAAAGTAAACGTATATAGTCATAGATCCAAGTTATAGAAAAATGGAGAGGGAACATGGAATATATCTACAACCCACACCCATCTTAAATTCTTAACAGTAGAGGGAGCCCAGATGCTTCAAAACAACCATCATTTCTCACCCTTTCCCATCCTGTGGCTCAAAAGGTGCTTTAGAGAAAAGAAACTTGAAGAAAGAGGGAGGGGGAATAAAAATAACAACAATTAAAAAAAAACCCGTTGGTCTTTGGTCTTCTAAATTAACTGGAGTCAACATGTGGTCTTAATAACAAGAATAACAGTAAGAAATTAATGAAGATTTGACCAGTCTAGAGAAAAGAAGGAATGGGGAACACACATACGCAATCACAATATTCCAGTATTTAAGGGGCTGCCCCAAAGAAGAGCGGGGCAGGTAATTCTCCGAAGAACCAGAAAGCAGAACAAGAAACAATGGATAGAAGCTGATCAAGGAGAGAATTAACTTGGAATTAAGGAGAAACTTCCTAACTATGAGGACAATTAACCAGTGGAAGAGAAGTTGCCTTCAGAAGTTGTGGGTCATCACTGGAGGTTGTTAAGAAGAGACTGGGCAGTCAATTGTATGAAATGGTATAGGCTTGAGCGGTGGGTTGGAC